GTGACAACCAAATTGTCCAACTTGAGTCTTAGGGATGGAAATTGGGCTTGTTGAATGAAGATTTGACGGTGCGTTTGGATGGAGAACCATCAAACACTGAGGTAGATGACGAAGATGTAAAGAGAAGAAGGTCACTAATTCAAAGGGTGGTAAGCCAACGCCATTGACTAAAGAAGCCAATGCTGCTATGTCTTTATAAGTTGAGGCTAAATAATGTTTACGAGGACACTACACAGATAGGTGTAGGACTATATAGAATAGGCAAATAAACTTTGTGATAAGTTACTGGTTGGTTATTGATAACCTTGAGAATTAGATTGATGGTTAGGTAGTTTAGTTGATAACAATAGGTTGTTAGTAGAATAAATGGTTAAGAATTCAAGAGGTCATAACCTTTGGAATCTATTGGCCAACAAATCATCTTTTGGTAGGATAAAGAGGTTGAAAAAAGGGAGATCGGGGCTAGATTGTGATAGTTGTAAGCCGGGGCAAGCTTGGTGCTATCTCTTTTTGTTTCTTTGTTGTTGACGAGTCATAGATAGTTTCTGAATACTGAGAAGTTAGTCTGATGTGTCAGACTATGAGAATCATAAGCCAAGATGTTGAATTCTGTGTGATGAATTGAAAAACTGAATACAATAGGTAAGCTGAAGATCAGTAACTGAATATACATAAACTGCAAAGAGAGTGAATGGAAGATGAACGGATAAGAATATGGAAGTATTGTTGAATTGATAGTCGTAGAATGGATTATGTGTTGAATTAAGATGGAAGTAGTAAGCCTTGGTGTTTTGTAGTTTGATAATTGATTATAGATAGCCAGAGTACAATCAATTGTGACACTAACAGACCCAATTCATATAACCAGTCTTTTTCCGTGTTCGAATCCACCTCTGTTAGTTGAATTGCTTTGGTATATTGAAGCTTGAACACAATAAGAATAAGAAGTATGGATGTACTTCTAACAACTACCACAACAAATTTCAACTGTAAATTCATTACAAAACTTGAATATTGCCAAAATCTTAACAGTAGCTTCAAATCCTTGCTTACATACATCCATGTGCAATTTTCTTCATATCTCACAAATTAATAATTCAAATACCATAAAATTTTGATATATAGCTTTTTAATTTAATAATTCATATTTTTAGAAGTTTTGAGCTAAAAATTCATTTGAAACTCCAGATATGGCTCCAACCATTACTATCAACAAAATGACTCACTTACAACCTTTGAATTACATGTATTATCTTCAACACTCTATAACTTCTTCATACAAACTCAAATATAGAAATTATTTTATAAAAGATGTAGATATTTAAATTGCCTTTGCAGATGCATCTTTTGATTTCCAAAATCTATCATTAGTCTCCTTATATCCTCAAAAGAGCAACAATATATCTTTAAAAGACACCTTAACTTCAAATGGCTATAACTCCATCACGTTAACTTCAAATCCTCTAAAATTTTCATACAAATTATAATCCAAATCCTAAATCTTACAATTCTAACTTTTGATTCTTAAATTTTCCTTTTGAAGTTGCCGAAATCCTTGTTATGGTTGTGGATAGCCTATTAAATGCCTATTGGATATGGCCTTTCATCAATAGGAATGAAAATCTTTACTTTTTGCTTTCATCCCTCCAAATAAGTTTCTTAAAGATTTGGATCTTCATCTTTGAGCCTCAATCTTTTCTTTATATTTTATACTAAATATCTAAATCATATATAATTTAAATACTATAATCAATATAAGCAATCCTTAAAATAAATTTTCTTTAAATAACCTATTAAGTGCTCTAATATACATTAATACTTATACATATATTATATATTTTAGTTAATTTTTATATACTATAAATTATTATAATTTAATAATATTATAAGTTATATCTTACAAATTTTTGAAATCTATAACATCAATCTTCTCTAATATCCTAACTACCTCTTCAAATGTTTATAGATCTTTAAAATCCAGCTTCTTGCTAGACCACACGTTTTAATCCATATACAAATCAATTAATTACCTCTATCTCTGAAATATTATTAATTTGGAGACATAGAGACTTGAATTAAAAGATATAATCTTGTACCAACCTGAATTGTTTAAGGTTAATCAACTAATTACGTTCTACTTTTTTTGCATTGATAGGCCAAATTTGACTCCTAAGCTTGATCTCAAACTCCTTCTAGTTATAAAATTTTCCTTAAGTTCCATAGCTTTGAGCTTGATTTTCCTACCAAATGGTTGCTGTATCTTTCAAATAACTAGAAACATATATAATTCCTTTGCTGATATTTGTCCCAAATAATTAAACGTACTATTGCATTGCTAATGAGCCATTGACATACATCTTCTTGCCTTGAGGTCCTTGAGTATGTATTAGGCTTACTCAATTTTAGTGTAAGAAATATCAACTTCCTTATTTTACAAGCTTTTATTTGTTCTTATAAAGTGGCTATTTGGCCTATGAGGTGTTGTATTTGAGTCTCCTTCTGGGATTGCTCTACTATATCTACTATACTATAATTTCTTTGTTGAACTTTGTTCCTATAATGTATTCTCTTTTTCTAGTTGACTTTTTAAAGTAGCTCGTTGTAGTCCTAAAATAATATTGGATGTGATCACAACAATTGACTTCCAATCAAACAATGGCTATTAACATACTATCAAAGAACAAATTAACACTTGCTTTGATACTAATGAAACATGACTACATTCTTTAACGTCTAAAATCTTATCAATTCCATAATAATGTAAGACCAAGAATACTAGAACAAAACTAGAAGTAATTTAATAGAATGGAACATGAAAGTCAGAACTAAATAAAAGAGAATAAAATCAATCAAAATCAAACAAAATAGAATAAGAAAAGACAACCAAATTTTATTGAAAGAAAAAATCTGAAGCCATATCTAACTAAATGGCCAAATGGCCTTAGCTAATCCTAATTAAACTTTGTTCAACTATCTTGGAACTTTTTAAAATATTTCTAATAGTGGACCATATCAAAATAACCACATTTGTAGAAGATTTTAGAAGTACATCCCACTATAATAACCGCCTTAAATCTTTCTATAAGATTCTATGGTAGGTCCTATATGAACCACCATCCTAACCTCAATTCTAAAAACTTTCCAAAATAACTCTAACTATATATCTTTAAGTGTAAATAATATAAATATCCTATCCATGCCTTATTACAAATTTTATATATAACATATATAACATATATAACATATTGGTGCAAATAAGGTTTATAATAGCTTTTTGAAAACTATATAAAATTTAGAATTTGCTTTAACAAGAATATTTTTGAAGAATAAATTAAGATCTATATCTTGAAAAATATTGTACACTTTGTAATAAGTTTATGATTGAATTTTAAGAATTTTTTGTGTACTTTTGCTAAATATTTATCTTAAATTTTAATGTAACTAGTTGATTAAATTTTAAGGTCATCAAAATTTAATTGTTTTAAGATACTAGTAGTTGGTAATTTGAAAGTTAATAAGAATACCAATAATTTGCTAAGATTCCTTAATTGAATTGAGTTAAAACTTTTTAAATTAGTAATTGATGTAGAACACAAATCTACATAAAATTTGAGAATAAATTAAAAGTAGAAGAAGGAAACCTTGCCATTAAAAATTTCACATCAAAGTTGAAGAAGGAAGTTATTTAACAACAAGACAATAATTTATCTTATCTCTTAATTTATAATTTTATTTATTTTCATTTTTCTTAGGTTTATGTCTAAAAATCACATTAAAAAATAAATAAGATTTTAAGTAAAATAAAAAATTAACTAAAAGTTATGGAGTGTTAAATTATTTTATTTAATAATTAAGATTTCATGAAGATTTAATAGATTCTAATCAAAGTATATTTAAAATATATTAGATTTTACATAGAATTTATGTAGGATTTTTTAAGGAAATTTTTAGAACTTGTTTAAGGTTTTTTTTAAAGCTTTTCCATGATTTCTTGGATTTATAATACAAAGTTAGTAGAATTTAGAATCAATTGAATTTAAATTTTTAAAAGAATCAAAATTGTCAAGATAAGTATTTTTAAATATATCATTCATTTTTTTTTTTATAAAATGAATTTGAATTTTTTTATAATTTCCTTCTATATGCAAACATACATACATATGTATATATATATATATATATATATATATGGAATTGTTAAAGCCACATTTCAATGTTTTTAAAGCCACAACCCTCAAACCATGTGATGATCAATTTTAGAGGATATGGAACAAATAATGGGAATAGGGAGCAGAGGATGGAGGTTGGGAACAAGGAATATGGGATATGGAATAAGGAAAGAAGTTGGGGATGGACAATATCAATCACAAGATGGTAATGTGGGATATGGCTTTAACAACATTAAAATGTGGCTTTAACAATTCTCTATATATATTAATAATATCTTAATAAAAAAAGTTGATATTTTTTTTGACAATGATTTTATGTTATGATTTCAACACATGACGTGTAAAATAAAATAAAAATAGAATACACAAACTTCAAAATGTAATCAATTAATTCAAATATTGCTTTCAATGATTTTTTTTGGCACACAATGAGCTCCATTAGAATAGAATGAACAAGAAAACAAAAAAAGGGTTACCATATATGATCTGATAACTCTTATTTCAATAAATATATATCTATATATTTTGTTGTATTTCATACTTTGGATGGCTTTGTCCTTTTTAGTTGAACCTTTTACTTTTTGATGGTTGTTCCGCCTCGTCTCCATCGATCTCGTGCACACCCTGGACGAGGAGCAGGACTGGACAAAAAGCAAAAGTCGAGCAGGAGCGACGAAGAAGCGAGGATGTGGGCGGGGGGGGGGGGGAGCTCTATGATTGATTGAATCTGCCCGGTGACCGGCTGGCTACGGCTGGCTACCGGTGGCGCAGGTGCTCTGGCGCAGACTAGAAAAAAAACGCTGACTCCCTCAGGATCATCCAAACGGGCTTGGAGCAGCATGAAACCCTACAAGCAAGCAAGCAGAATTTTTCTTTCCATATTTAGATGATTTCGTGCGAGGAGTAGGATTCGAAGAGGTCGTCGGAGCCAACCAGCCAGCCTGTGTTGGATGTTCGAGGAGGTCACGCTGAGGATGCTGCTGTGCTTCTTCTTGATTGGTTGGGTTGTCATTGCTATTAGCCTTTTTTTTGTTTTTATATTTCGACTGGGAAGTGTATATGTGGACTGGCTTGAGGTTGTAGGTTTATTGTGAGATTTCTAGCTTCGGCTATGCCGATGAATTATAATTGAAAGCATTGAGTATTGGAGATGGTTAGGTGCGATCTTGTGAATTCCCTGTGTACGCGGTTGTAAACGGTCGGTGAGACCTGCTGCAGAGGTCGTCTGAGCGATTGCTTGATTAGATTGAAGTGCAGCTTGTAGAAATGATTGAAGGTGGAATTTGCTAGATCCTTTATTATTATTAGTTTAGTTTAGTTTTGCCATATTTTTTATGACTCTGATGTATAGGTTAAACCATTCTTGTATCTTATGCAAGCATTATCTCATGGTGCAGTGTATGTAACGTAGAGCAAGTTTTCTGTGCCATCCTCTTTTCTTGACCCCCCCCCCCTCTCCGTATTTTAAAATTTTATGTTCTTATGTTCTTATTTTTTATTTTATTTTATTTATTTGCGTGTGTGGGAGAGAAGATGTGATGAGAAGAGCTGATGTCTCATTCTGATTTTAGAGGAGTTCCTCAAGCACGTGAGTCTTCAATGAGCATGTTACGTGATCCGTCTATGGCGGTTTTAGGCCTTCAGCAGAGACTAAGCTCGACGTATCTTACTTCAAATGGGGAGGACCCAAATCAGGATCAGGTTGAAATCATATTTCTCTTAGTAATTACAGCTTCTATAACTGCTTGGTTAATGTTGTTATGGGCAGATGGATTTGTCTGTCGTTCACAGATAGTTGGAAGATTTGTATCTTCTCCATGACAATTCGTTAAATCGGTGTAGTGTTTGAGATCTTTCATGACTCGAGACTAGAACATTTCATGGAACTGAATACACTTTTGTAGCAATTCAATCATGCCTCTGCAATTTGAAAATACTGTAGCATATTTCTTCAGGTTTAGGTTTATCAGTTTTGTAATATTGTTGAACAAGAGAACATCTGAAGCAGAACAAGTTGAGCTTATCAAAAACATAACTTAGCTGTAGCTATCATCAGCTAGGACAAAAGAACTTACTGAAACTGTCCAGTCCAATAAAATTGTTGACTTTCTAAACATATAAGCACAGGAAGAGCACATTATTCACTGGTACATGTAATCGAACTCAGCATCCTCTCGAAGCAACGTAGCATTTATACATATGTGGCAGCATAATATCTGCATTGATCTGAAGCTACATCGAATTGGTTCTCTTGTCGTCTTCTCAGGACAGTAATCTATTGGATATCATAGAAGCAGCAGAGTCCGCAATTCGTACTCAGGTTAGGTCTACAGTTTCTCATTTGAAGCTTGAAGGAGCTCCTGCTTTGTTTTGAATGCTGTCTGTTTCTTTCCGGTTTCATTACAGTTGGTGATCTGGCTTAAGCGGTTGGTCATTTTTTCTCTTATTCGGACATACACTGCACTGATGCTGTGCGTACAAACCACTCTCGGAGTCCTTACATGAGACTTAAGTCTGCAGGTTGCAGAAAACGAGGAGTTGAAATTTGCTTTGGAAGAAGCTAATAGGGAGCTGCAAGTAAGTAGATAAACCAGTTTTCTCAATTTTGTATGTAGTATAATATTGCATAAAACTCACATGTCTATGATGTGATTTTTCATACTTCAAACGATCTCTTAATTGCAACCATTTCTTCAACTTTGGATTCTAGGGGATAAACTACGTTAGCCTTGAAATCATGTTTTGCTTAGCTGAAGTATCTTTTATCCACGAGCGCAAAATCTTGATGGCCTCAGGTGGTCTTTGAAATATGACAGGAGCGACCTTGCTCACCTTACATAACCAATATAAGATTATCTAGCATGAGGTAGTCAAGCATGAAAGATGTCTTCGGGGTGGAGGTTTGTTATATTTGGGAGGTAGCGGGCATATTTTATGTCTGCATGCCAGGATGTGTACAAGTGCTGATTTACAATCTTTCAATCTGGATGTTCATTTTCAAGTGATGTTTTCACTCAGAAGTTGTTAATTTATCTCATGTACCATGTTTTCCACACTTTGCAGAGGACTAATCAGCAAATGAAAGTTGGCCCTGAGAATACATATTCATCCGCACAAGCTTCTCATGGACGCAATCCGAACAGAGTATCGGATTATAAAGATGGACATGCAGAGGCGGTTTCCCTGTTCAACCATCAAAATGCGTTGACAACCCCCTTCACAGGTGTTGCTTCTTCGCATCTTCGACAAAGTAACGATGGTGAGTATCACGCTGCAAGTGTCGATCCCCTTTTCGGTGCACGCACCAATGGAGTACCTGATACAGAATTTGGCCAGTTCCCTCCATATTCGACTTCAGCATCGAACTCGACTTTTGCGTTTCCGTAAGTTGTAGTGTAGCATCTAAACTGGACCCAACTTTGGAGATACTTGAGATTTATTGTTCGCTCACGTACCTTCATAGATCTGAGAAGGCTTGACCTCCTCAAAATAAATTTATGCTAATAATAACACTTACATGATGAACGTATGCATCCATCTTTTTGGACTTCGAAAGATTACCATTTCTCGATTGACCGGCTCACTGTTATCTTACTTGTTAATATAAAGAGGGCAAAAATATGTCTTGTGTAACAGACGAAAGGGCGTTGAAGCAGAAAAACAAAATCTGTATCATGGACAGGATTTGCCAGACATTAACAACAATAGCGGCTACCGCCGACCACAAGTGCTTTCCTTTACGATGTGCTTCGTTCATTCTTGTTTTGTTAAGTTCATTGTGTCTTATCATACGCAACATATGCTGGAAAGTTGAAACACAATTCTTGTAAGAAGTAGGAATCTTTGTATTTGAAAGGGAAATCTGAATGAGTTCTTAGGGCTGTTTTCTTTTCAGGACTTGTTGCTAAGGCTCTCAAAACCTTCAGAAGATGAAGAATCAAATCAAACTTTAGCTCGACGCCTAAGAGATGCATCCTTGAAGGTAATATGTTGCCTTCATTTATGTGTGCTTGAGATTGGTGGATTAGGTACTTACTGGCGATATCTATTCACAGAGGCATTGTCTTTCTTGGATGTCAATGAACTTGTAATTTTGGTACTTTGAAGATTACCAAATAATATCTGTATATTGAACTTACGGTCTGTGCTACTTCTGTTTGCTCTTTATCATCACTGCCCGTATTGGACTTGAAATACATTAATCAACGGTTGTTTTGCTGATTTCTTTCTCGTTCGTATTGCAGGAATCTCAACTTATCAGTGAAAAGAGGACACTCGAGCGTCGGGTTGCAGAACTACGACTGGTTGATCCCTTGAGAGCCAGTATTTGGTGTTACCTTCATTAGTTCAAAGTTTAATACTCATGTACTCATTCTGTCCTCCTTGTTTACGATTATCAATTAAATTTTATTTTTGTTTATTTAAATTTGGATGTGATAGGCTTATGATCAGCAGGAACAAGGATTAGTAGATGCAGCATCCAAGGCTCTATCTTATCGGCAAGATGTACTTGAAGAGAATTATCGCCTCACTTTTGCTCTTCAGGTTTATTCCCTCGCATCTGTATCATCGCTTTATAGGTTGAAACCCTCACGGAGTTTGCACTCTATTCGTTGGAGCTTTTTATTGAACAAGTATGAGTTGCTTTTCGTAATGCTCGTTACTACGTGTAACCTTAATATGCGGTTACTCTTGTCGTTGATGTCTCGTTAAGATGGTATGTGTTTGAAGCGTTGTGTCAATCATGTGCATTTTAAGGCCGTATGGTTGAATACCATTTAGGATCTCGCTATACAAATGTCTCAAAGCTAAGGATGAGCAAATTCCATCCGTGTTGGTTGCGTGATGTGTACGCTCTATCTAGACACTTCTGCTTGGGATGGTAGGACATAACAGAGGACCACTATGGACACTTCAGGTGGCAGAGCAAGAGAAGACAACGTATGTGCAAAACCTGATGCCTCTGTTGGCTGAGTATGATTTGCAACCTCTTGTCTCAGATGCACACTCTGTGGTCAGCCATGTTAAGGTCTGTGATTTGCAACCTGCAAAAATCCATCATGTACGAATTCTGCCTGGTTTTTCCTGCTGGATTTAGCAGCTAGTTTCGTTGGAGCTCTAAAATTTGATTGTAGCTTTATTTTCAGTATAACTGCAATGTCGTTCATTTTGTATATTAATTCCGTCTTTGTATCCTCGAATCGTTCATGTCCTTGGTGTTCTAATGTAGATGTATATAATTTAGGTGTTTTTGTTTTTCAAATGCAGCAATGCTGATCCTAAATTATGCAGGTACTTGTGCAAAAATTGCGTTCGGAGTTGGAGACTTATCAGGTAATCTTTGACTACCCGTAACTATATCTGATATTATCTTTTTGCTTCTTAACTTTCATAAACACCTAGTCTCGTGTTTTGTGACTTTCAAGATGTTTCTGACTTCGTTAATTGTTCTTATTGCAGAGTAAGGTGAAGGACATGCAGTATTATTTGCCTCCCCGGCAAACTTTATATCAGCCACCCACATTATACAACCTTCCACCTCAGTCTCCTTCCTATCGGGTGATTACGCTTTCTGCATTAGGGCGCTAAACTCTGTTGCCTTGCTTGCACGAGCGGTTACGTGTGTCATCTTGATGATTGTGTTCGTAAAATTGTAACTTTTCTGTAAGCTCTATTGTCATGATCTTGTAACTGGAGTTTCCTAGTTTAGTCTACTGGTAGTTTTTCGTACATATATACATGTTGCGTATGTGTGTTTGTGGCACGGTTGTTAACAAAATAGTTTTGTCATGGTTGGGCAGACACATGGGATGGAAATTGTGCCTCAGCATTATGCTGAAAGACCAACATCTCCACTCCAACAGATTCGTGTAGGAAGACCTAGTTCAGAGTCTGGAGTGTCTTCTCCTCGGTTTCCAGGAAAGCGTGAGGATAACCTGCACAACGAGGCTATTAATTATCAAGAGTGGGTTTCTCGCGACGTGTATTCAGATGAAAATGATTTGGTTCTTGTAAGGAGTAGTTACCTAACGGAGAGGTTCTTCAAATATCTGTTGTAATGAACATGTGATGATCAAAGAATTCATTGCATGTGTTCAGGGAGCAGGCAGGTGGGCGAGGCTTTGTGAATTACGACTTGGTCAATTCAAGAGGAGGTGAAGTCTCAGATGATTTCGAGGGTGATGAAGAAATCTCTTTTGATGGATCACAGACTCCCACTCAATCCAGGCGTGGGTTTTGTAACTTTGAAGCTGTCCGATCGCCTCCACAGCTCCCTCCATTGCCTGAGGAAACTACTTCTCAAGGTTTTGAAGGTAGTTTCAAGTTTTTCTTACACTCAGAAAATTTAGACAGGCTCCTGGATTGCGGGAACGTCGTGCAGCGGAGTTACTGTAACATGATGAGCTGTGTTTGCAGAGAATGACCCTCCTCCAGGAATTGAGGGCCTTCGAATATTGGGAGATCCTGTCTTGGGTGGTCGACTAACTGCGTGTGGTCATCCTGTCAATGGAACTCATTTATGCATCTTTCAGGTTTTAAACAGTACTCTCCCATTAAATTTGTTAGTGCTGTGGTACGTCATCTGCTGGAGGTTGCTTTTATGAGCTATTTTCGGATCAACTAGCTGGAACTTTGCAAAATGTGTATTTTTGTTCACATAGCCTCTATGAAATATGAATATCTAGACGTTCCTTATTAGAAGTTGATCTTGGGCCCTGTTATGGTTGCCATCGAAACCATCATCCCATTTTAGCCTCTTGTTCAGTAGAATGATGCACTTACCAATATTTCTACGTATATCCATGCTTCGTGCAGTGGGTTCGGCATTATCATGATGGACAAGCAATCGACATTGAAGGTGTGCTTCTATCGCGGCCTCGTTTGGAATATGTTTTGTTCCATTTCAGACTTTGCTCATATGTATCAGTGACAAGTTATACGACGTTTCAATTACATGCTTTCACTACCAACTGCACTAAAAACCTGTTTTACCTTTCCCTACTTAAAAATCTTTCAAAAGAGATATTGTTGAAAAGTTGTATCATACTCTTTTCTGAGCCAATTGTACGCCAGTTTCACTCGGTTTCTACGTTGTCATTATAGGGGCAGCACAATCAGATTACGTCATCACGGCTGACGATTGTGATAATATCGTTGCTGTTGAATGTGTACCTGTGGATGAGCGTAACCGCAAAGTGAGTAAATGTGTTTTCCAAACAGGCCTGCAACTTTAACATCTTAGCCATCATTGATTGACCCCAACCTAGTTTACTTGTAAGAGTAATTTGCAATACTTGATAGTGTTATAGAGTTGAAACGCTTAGTGTATGTAGCTGATTGCATTTTCCAACTTATCTTTGGTTGCTAACTCGTGCATGGAATGTGACGCAGGGTGAATTGGTGAAAGTCATGGTTAATGATGGCATTCCGATCTGTCGAGGCAAGTTTCTTGTGAGGGTTTATTTATGTATTCTCAATTACTATCGCTTTTGAAAAATCTAATTTTTTCTATAATCATAAATTGCTTAATCAAATGTTACAGGTCGTCTTTTGTGAGAACTGAAACATAAATATGAAGAGAAATATGGGTATGTATTTCAATTTGGATGTAAAAAAGATGATTTGAACGACGCCTTACCGGGTGGTTATGCCCAGATCCGATGATGCAAGATCAAATTGATCAATACATGACAAGTGCAAGAACTGATGCTTTGTTTGAAGTAAACGTATTGGTACGTGGAATACTTGCTACATGGATCAAATGCCTACCATCTCGTCTCCTTAGCAAGCTTTCCTTGCACACCGCGAAAGTGGAGTCTATGCCTCATCATCAGATGATGCAGATATTATTGCATACATGGTGGTTTACAATGTTTCGAACTTGCTCCTTACATGATTGCAATTGGGTTCGCTTTGCTGACAGTTTATCATTTTTCTACAGGAAGGGACATCTGAAGACGTTTCTGAGCCGGGCACGCTGGTGCTGAGACGTGCTACATATGAATTACGCCGCAATAATGGTCGGAAACAGCTCATAAACGAAAAGTATTCACCTTCGGTTTCTGTATGTTCTCATCCCCTTCTAAGCGGGTCATTTTTGTAATCAGAATTACGCGTGTACTTGAGTCGGACTTCAGAATGTGCATTCATAGTTTAATCTTAGTTTGTATTAATCCTTCTGGGGGCTGTCTTCACAACTCCAGATCATCATACCAGGAGGAGATGTTCGGCAGTGTGTGATCACTTGCCATGACAGAAGAGAGATTTACCTTGAGCTGCGAGATTCACGGTTAGTTATGCTTACTGCGTTCCCTTGCCTCGTCTCAGTTATGTTGATTTAATAAACTGGTCGAAGTTCTTCAAATTGAAACATGAATAAGCTGAATTAAGACACTGAGCTCAGTAAGTACTTATAATAATCCATTCAAAATGCGATATGTAGAATCTCAAGCTGATATGCTTAAGTTCGTAAATCTCAGAAAGGGAGACATGATATTAAGTTTAGGATAGATGATGCCTCATTTTACAGGTCAACTTTGTTGATGATAGTTTTCTGGAATAATGCAGGACCCGGGATTTAGCTGTGCTGACTTTCCGTGCTTTCCTCAAGGCAGTAAGTTCGATCAATTCAACATCTTTTATACAAATGCACACGAGAACCATGTGCCTACCGTTCATTGAAGTAACAGTGTCGACTATTACTCCCCATATTACATTAGTATGTGCAGCCTTCTAAGCTAACTCCATTGAAGAAAATTGCTTAGCAGCTTTATTGCTTGTGCAGGCTGTGGATGAACAGGACAAGAAAAAAAAGAAACGAAGCACATGGCTTCGCGGTTAAACTTCTTAGGTCACTAGAATCAAATTTTTTTTTCCGTTTCCATGTGACCAGTATTGAGTGGTCCTGTATTGTTTGTGCCTTCTGCGGATGTACTATAGTAGGGCCTTGGGCGTACACTCTAGAACATGTATCTTTATAAAATGATCTGTAGGGTATGGCAATATAGTTTCGTTGCGTACGAATGATGAAAGATCCAGCCCAATATTTAAGAAAAGCCCCTTGCAGGAGACCTACAGGTGTCATTGATGATTTGTGTTGAATGTAGCGAAATACGCAAAGAATAAGACAACGACTGTAATCAATTTCATCTAATTCTCTTTCTGGTATACAAAAAATTTCATAAAGGAGTTTAGCATGTGGGATGGAATACAAGTTTGTTTATATCATGAAAATTACTAGTTATGATCAATCTTTAGAACTAGTGTGTTCGAATGTATGCAAACACAAACTACAAACTATGATTTTCAATGTGTCATTAAATGTTGGATACCATTAGAAACTGATCAGCCTTTGCCTTCTTGTTTTAGGGTTGTTACAAGGTTTCAGCATCTCATTGTAAAAAGAACAAAATGAATGGAGGGATGGATATAGGTAAAAACTTCTCAACCAAATTGGAATAAAGAAGAACAAGAATTATTGATGACAAGAATATATTTGTTACATAATATTTTTTTTCCAAAAATATGTACATATTAAAAAAAATACAAACTTTTTCATACTGTAATTGGAAAAGTGTTACTTTTACATAAAATCTTAACTAAATTACTAATTGCTTGTAAAATAGTCTCCTAGTATTAGTTTCAGAATAGAAAAAGGCATTTCAACTTATAATACCATCATATAATGTTAGACATATCAAGTATGTTTAGCCAACAAGTATGCCTTTTACTTTATATAAAATATTTTTGTTTGTTTTTTTAACAAATACAATAACAACCCTATTTACCATAATTTTATCACTTAAATCTCTACATCAACAAAATACATATCTTTTGTTTCTTCTAAAAGCTCCAAGTCCTCCTTTACAAATATATTGGTTGAATAATTTAAATTTCTCATGAAAATAATAATATTTTTTTTTACTACAATATATATTTCAATATCCAAGCTTGCATAATATCAACATTAAATAGGCAATATAACAACGCTTTTTGAACATATAAACTTTATACTTACAAATTGTACAAACTATATGCATCTTAAAATTATCTATACAAATTATCATTCATGTAATCTTAATTAGTAATTCTACTTTTTTACAATAGCTTAGAAGATGGTAGCTATGTCAATCTATAATAATGATATAGTTGTGTGCAATAAATCTTTGTATCTATGCCAATAAAAAACAAGTCTACTTCAATAAAGCTCACAATACACAAGCTGATGTATTTACAAAATTTATAAGACCACAAGAGTACCATCTAAGCTTCACTACTACTAAGTGTGACCTCCATCTCCATTAAGAATTGCTTGCAATCTTCTACATAAATCATCTATCCATTCATCTATAGTGCCTTGATGAATGAGGTTCCATTCTTCTTGTTCCACTTCAAACAATTGTTGGATATCATGAGGTCTCTTCTCTCTTTGCAAGAAATGCTCTCTAAGGCACCATTTGAGAAACATCTAATAATTCTTAATTGGATTGAAATCTAGAGAATTAAGTGGTCAAGATAGTTGTTCATAGTGACATTCTCTCTAGATTCTTATTCTCATGCCATTGGTGCCATCTTGTTCCATCTGCAACTAGGTATATGTGACTTGGTTGATTTCTTAGAATACAAATAAAAAGAACAATGTAAGGTTTGTGCAATTTTCAAGCAAATCGCACAATATTAAAGCCAAGTCTATTGCAAGGAGTAACACACTTCTTCTCTATCATCTTCTTCACTAATATTAACCTAAAACAACCTCCATTTGTAATGCATGCAACAATAGTCTTTCCTAACTTGAAACTAGGTCTCAAATTTGCAAAGATAATCTAGGATCTTCATCTATCACCTCCTCTATTCTCCTATTTATAACCATTGTGATTTTTTGTAGATGACCTTTATAAAAAGCATCCTCAATATGACCTTTTTTGTAAATTTCTTTTCTTCACTACCTCCTAAATTCTTGGCTTTCCTACCTCTAAAATCTTTGCAATCTTCTTGTAATCCCAACGTGCTATGTTGTAGAGGTTGCAAATTCTCATATTAAACTCTATCCTTGCCTCTCTCTTGTTGTGTATGAGTGTCATTGTAAAGACAACTAACTACATTGACTTTGTTGAGGAAGGTACAATAACTTACTGCACTTAACTATATATGCCTTATAGTAAACATAAATAATCTTAGTAAATTTATTACATATAATAATTTTAAAAAATAATCAAAGAAGTGAAGTTGGTATATTTTAGCAAAATCTACATATGATAATCATTCAAGCATTACTTATTATTTTAAAATATTTTTATTTCTATAAATATTTAATAAAATAATAGAGACTTTTCAAATTCATTATTGAAATATTGAATATGATAATTTAAAAAAATATTATAGAAATATAAATATTTAAAATCTCATAGAAACCTTTTAGACATGAACTCAATCTATAGACTTATTTAAATATGTTACATAGTTATTAACATATGCCTAATAATTTTTATACTTTTAAAAAATTTCTATAAAAGAATTTTAAATTTAGATATTTGGCAAGCTTCTACAAAGTCTTCTTATTACTTTGTGTATTTAAAGATAAGATGAAGGCCTTTCATCATAGATACATTATACATGAAACAAAAGAAGAAGTTGAATGAAATAATTTTAACAAGAAAACTAACAAGAATTTGATTAAATTTGATGAGTAGAAGATCAATACCAAAAAGATGAATTAGAACTCCAAAAAATGTGTTGTTGAAATTGAGAATCCTCTCAGCTTCAACTCCAATATATACTAGGTATTACGAAGTTTCTTAAAAAGTTTTTATATTGCTTGAAGATGAAGCAATTGTAGGAAGCTTCTCAAATAACTTCCTTAATTCTCTTAAAACTTTCTAGAATTTTTTAGAATATTCTAAGAACTATCTAAAACCTTTTAAAATATTTAAAATATTTTTTAGAATCTTATGGAATCTTTTAGAAACTAATAGAATATTCTAAAAATATTTAAAAAGTCTTCTCATTGGATGTCTATAACATCATTTCCCCTTGTAATTCCAAGTTTCATAAGGAGCATTGGTTTCATTTTTATTTCTTTTTTTATATACAACATCCTAGCAATAGCTTCTTAAAGAAGTTATTCTAAAATAGATTTAATTTTTTGAAAATAGCATCAATAAAACTCTTATAATTTTTATGATGCATTAATAAGATCTTTTGTTGCTTTCCATGTTGTTGTATCATGTGAAGTCTTGCTTGAGAATGCATTAGATACCTGATTGTGGAAGATAAAAAAAAAATGCAATAACAAGTTCTAACAATTCTAATAGAACTATATATAAATTGTAATTATAGTTTAAAAAATCTAATAAAATATTAATAAGTCTAATTAAATTTTTTAATAAATTATAAAAGAAATATTAAAAAATCTTAAATTAATCCTAATTGAATCCTAATCAAATCATAAATAAATTTTAATCAAATCTTAAACAAACCTTAATCAAATCTTATACAAATTTTAATTAAAAATTAAACAAATTCTAATCAAAGCCTAGACAAATCCTAAACAAATTCTAATAAAATCCTAGACAAGTCCTAATTAAAACCTAACCAAATCCTAAATAAACCTTTGAAAAATCCTAGATAAAACTAAATAAATTTAAACAAATCTCATATAAATTCTAGACAAATATTAAACAAATCTTAAACAAATTCTAATCAAATCTTACGAAAATCTTAAATAAATTTTAATCAAACCTTAGAAAAATCTTAATCGACTCCTAAAAAAACTTAAAAAATCCTAATAAAACCTTAGTCAAATTCTAATGAAATCCCAGATAAATCTTAGACAAACCTTAGATCCTAAATCAACAATAAATCTTAAATAAAATCGTAACAAAGCTTATGGCAAGTTGAAACTTCTATAACTAACAATCAAATTATTAATTTTAATTCAAATTTTATATATCTTTCAACAAGTAAACTGGAAAAAAGCACAAATATTTTTAAAAGATTAAACTTATGAAATAGAAAGTAAATCCTAAAATCCGCTCAGGTGTTGGCTAGCCTCCTTCTCCAATTTTAATGCCAATCTCTCTGAGTCAAAATTTCTTAATTTTACCATTAAATATCTTTCAAAATTTATATATATATATATTGAAAATCAAGGTTAAGATCTACATATATATATATATATATATATATAAATTTCATCTCAATCCAATTGGTAAATTGCTAAAAAATTTAAAAACTCTTAGTAATCTTCAAACCCCATTTCTGAGACTCCAATCCACTTGAACTTTAATAACCTTCAATCTAATCGTTCAACCATTTTTTAATTTATAGAATTCAATAAAAAAAAAATTAAAATTAAAAATAGTTAAATTTTTACTTATAGATCTACTACCAAATTCACAAAATTATTTTAAATATAATTTTTTTATTTTATTTTACAAAACCAAATTCACCAAAATAATCCTAATTTTATAAAGTTCTTTCGAAGTCATCACAAACTCAAAATACTCAAAATCAAAGTTTAAAAAAATCTTATGAAGTCTTCTTTTAAATCCCATTCTTTGATTTACAAAATAATCCCCAGAGTCACCATAGATATATAGTTTTATGCTTTAGGCTCTAATTTCAATCCTAGTTGGCAATTGGTCCTTTTTGGGTATCAATTCTTATTTTCTTGAGGTAATTTTTGCTTAAATCAATTTCTAACTCCTTTATACATATGCTTGTATTCTTTATTTTTTCTAATTTATCTTATTTTGCCTTATTTCTAGCCCTACAAAGTAAGTAGAAGGCAATATTTGTACTTTTAGTTTTATTATCTTTTGACTATTATTTATATTTTTAAAATAATTTTTTACAATATTTTGAAATAAGATCTTTTATAGTATAATATTTTTTTCACTCTTTCATCTTTTTTCCATAATACATCACAACAACATATGTTTATTGATATTGTAGCCATATCAATGAATAAAATACTGTGACTTGTTTCTTTTTTGCTGAAATTCGTGGATCTTTTTCATCTCATATTCTATATAATTATGTATTTCAATGCAAGGCAATAACGGTTGTATTTTTCTTGGAATAGTTGATTTGAAAAAAAGCTTCTACGAGAGAAACATAAAAGACTAGATGTACTTTTATAGATGTAGATAGTATCAACCAATAAGCCACTATATTGATTTCTTTTT